GTCCCCCCCCCCCCCCGGGCCTGGGCTGCATGGCTGGAAGCGGATTTTTGTTTTTTTCCCCCCTCCCCTCGGGCTGGGCTGTGTGGCTGGAACTGCTCTTATAACAATTCAATAGTCATGAATTCAGAGTCTTTCATAGGATAGGCCTCCAAGGTGTGGCCAAGTGTCAACGTTTCAGCTCGTTGTCCGTTTCAACTTGTTCCAACTCTCTTTCTTTGTCTGTATACTGGATAGAAGTAGAACCGCGTACAGCGCCGATGCTATGAGTCTGTGTATCAATGTCCACCACATGACACAAGCTAGAAGACAGAGCAACTGTCAAAAGCCACCCACCTGACTCACCACCAAGCTCCTCTCATTTGAAACTTCAAGCTCGAAACTAAATAGCCAAACAGAGCAGCAGCATGGACGCCAAGCAATCGAAACGCCCGAAACCGAAGCTCGATCGCCGAAACGCCATGAGGAACATAGACTACGACGCCTCAACCTCCTCCTCTTCTTCTCCTTCTTCTTCTTCCTTCGGCCATGGCTCCCCCTCTATCAGAACTCGCTCTCTGGACCACTCACCTCTCTCTGACCACCAACCCAGCTTCCGCGTCAGAGGCATTGAGGGCGAATTCGATCTCATCTGCCGCAGCCTTGGGCTTTCCGGCCCCGAAGACTTCTCCATCCCAATCGCAGCCTGGGAGGCCCAGCGAGCTCGCTCTTCTTCCTCCCACTTCCCACCTCGCTCTCGCCTCCGCCATGAAAGCCATCATGAATTGCCAGACAGAGCGGAAAGCGGAACCGTTTTGGAGAAATCCGAAGTTAGGGTTAGGCTCGACAATGAAATTAGCGCTTCGAATTCGGCGAAGTTTGGGGGAAATGCCAGAAAGGGTGGTGGTGGTGGAGGAATTAAAGGTCTGCGCCCGCCTCCGGTTGTATTGAAATCTTTTTCTCCTCAAGACCATATTGGTGTAGCAGATTCGCCCATTCGTGTTGGTGACGTGAGGTATTCGGATGAAGAAGAAGAGGACCTTGTAAATGAAGCAAATGGTGAGAGGGAAGTGATAGATGAAGCGAGTTTTGGAAAGGGCAATGATTTGTCTGATGATTCTTTGTCATCTGGCTTATCTCCATCCAATAATCAAAATGAAAATGAAAGTGTTGGTTTTGATGCTACTTCTAGAGCAAAGCTGGAGCCAATCCATAGTATTTTTTCGCCAAATGGGAAATTCAGACGCAGTGTTTCGTCATCGTGGCAAAAGGGTCACCGTTTGGGAAGTGGTTCGTATGGAACTGTGTACGAAGGCTTTACTGAGTAAGCGATAGTTTCCTGCATCCCTTTACACTAAATATTTTTACTCCAAGTAAAACTTGTGCAAGTGTTGCTCAGTTTTTTTTTAGTTTTTTTTTTTAAATTCTAATTCTTATGCCTGTGTTATTAGTGATTAGCATGTTAAATTTGTCTGAATATACCTCAGTCTGAAAAAGACTTTGAATGTTGAAAAGAAAAACGGGAAAGAAAAGAAATAACTATACTTTGGTAGGGGACTAGGAATCTGTTGAAGAGTTTAATGAATAGAAACGTGGGGCATTATCACTATAACCATTTTTTTTTTCTTTCTCTTTTTGGTGCTAGGGAGATAATGACTACCACTTTCCTGAAAAATGGGACAACCATTCAAGGCTATATGCTAATTCTATAGTTTCTCACATTACTGCTCATCCGTTTATGCATTTATTGTTTCTTAATCATTCATGCATATCCCTGAAAATATTGTTCCATAAAATTAACATGTTGGTCTTATATAACTTTTTAAGTTCTCGCTCTCTCTGTTTCTCTCATGCTTCGTTTATATATTATCTTGCAGTGATGGATTCTTTTTTGCTGTAAAGGAGGTTTCTTTACTGGATCAAGGAAGCCATGGCAAGCAGAGCCTTATCCAACTTGAGCAGGTGTAAAGAAAGAGTCTTATTCTGATTTGTCCTAGTTTAATTACTAAATACTATCCTTTATTCTTTACTTTATTTTATTTATTCTATCTTGGCAAGCTTGGACTCGATATCTGCTGGGACCTCATCTTGGGATGGGCATGGGGCATGGGGCGTTTCACAGTTGGGTTACATTTCTGCAACTCCCCTCTCCCTGCTTCAGAGCAAGCCCCCACTCTCTCTTGCAATCTCACCCCATGTATTTAACCCCTGCTATGCCTTACCCTTCCCTGCTCTTTCCTTTTGAGTCTTGGACCATATGTCTTAATCTTAAAATCTATTGAATATTAACCCAAATACCCAATGAAATGTTTTATATACACACACACACACACACATGTTTGTACAAAACCGTTCAGGTGTGGACAGACCATTTCAACAGCAGTTATTGGCCTCTGCTTTCCCCATCCCATGTCTGTTTCTGAATTTTAAGTTTTTAACCCGTTCCATCCTTCATAAATGGGTCCAAACCAAAGGCACATGTTAACGCTAAATGATTAAAGCTTTACACAGCTGCGTACATTTGTTTTCTCTTTTGTAGATGCTATTGTGGGCATTTTCCTGGATGCCTTAAAATTCTTTCTTCTAATACCCTGATTCTTGGTACAGGAGATTCATCTTCTGAGTCAGTTTGAACATGACAACATAGTTCAATATCTTGGCACAGACAAGGTATGCTACTTCCTTTCTTGGTTTTCATTTCTATTTAGATCTTTATGTAGTTGGAAGCATAACTTTTTACTCATTATTCTTTTTCTTGACTCTTTTATGTCCTTTTGGGAATGAGGACAAGTTTTCATTTAACATTTTTTTAATATACTGTAGTTAGTACATAGGCATTTATATGTGCATGTGTGTACATATATTTGTAGAACCATAAAACAAACAATTAAAGAAATGCTAGACCAATGCGACTACCCAAGCTGCAATCATGTGACAAAACAGCTTTTAGACTAGCTCGCTGTATTTCAAGGTTAATTTAACATTCATTTATTGGACTCTCTTGTTTTGTACACTAATTCGTCAAATTAATATTATTTCAGGATGAAACTAAGCTCTATATCTTCCTTGAGCTTGTAACAAAAGGCTCACTTGCAAATCTCTATGAAAAGTATCTGTTGAGGGATTCTCAAGTTTCTGTGTTCACAAGGCAGATTTTGAGTGGGTTGACATATCTTCATGATCGTAATGTGATTCACAGGGATATCAAATGTGCTAATATATTGGTGGATGCGAGTGGATCTGTGAAACTTGCAGACTTTGGGTTAGCCAAGGTAGAATCTCTATTGCTCTCTCTCTCTCTCTCACACACACAGAAATTGTATTTTATTTTAATAAAAAAATTCATAGAATTTCTAATGCTAAACCATTCTACTCTGGCCTTTTGTTTTCCTAGGCAACCAAATTCAATGACGTGAAATCCTGCAAAGGGACTGCTTATTGGATGGCCCCAGAGGTTTGCCTCCTCTCTTTACAGTAAATATCTTATACAAACAGATACATTTCTCACTTCAGCTGAATAAAATGTTGATAAATCTGACCATCGCTATGTGTCCTGCCAAATACATTAAGTAGAGAAACAAATATGTATTGCCCTTTGTGCAGACTGTTTTCTCCTCATTTGCTACTTCTTATATTTATAATATGTATATATGTAATCTTTTTCAACTTTTTTATCCTTAGTTTCTTGGACCAATTTTTTATGTTTTTGATGATTCTACAATCTCTCTACTACTTTTTTTAAAAAAAAAAAAAAATTTAAGAGAAGTTTTATTTCATAACAGGAAGAAATAATAAAACGAGTACAATCTCTCTACTACTTGGTGCTTTTTGTTTCGTCGGATGTGTTAGATTTTGTTGAAAAAAAAACAAGTGTTTCCTACAACTTCTACTTTCATCATTTTATCTGGACAAGCAAAAAAGAAAATTTCGGTTAAACTATCTTTTGTTGCCTGCGATATGGTAACTTAGAGACAAGCAAAGGTAAAATTGGTATAAGATGCATTATGGATAAGAACATGAAGTAGGACAAATTTGTCTTTTACATTATTTTATGATTAGGCTCTTTTGAATTAAAATTAGTATTTATCTGTAATTGTTGCATTACTCTTTTACCTTAATCCACATCATTTGCCTGGTAAAAGAAACGTAATTCACATCTTTTTTTTTTTTTTTTTGGTTCTCCGATAAAGTTAATTTTCAGTTGCAATCCTAAACTTGGGCATAGGTTAGTCCAAGCATGCTTGTCTGTATCATTGGTTTTGGGTTAACCCGTTAACCAGTAAGCTGTAAATTGTAGGTTGTTAATCAAAAGAATCGTGGCTATGGGCTTGCAGCTGACATATGGAGCCTTGGATGTGCTGTGTTAGAGATGTTAACCCATCAGCCTCCATACTCTCACCTGGAAGACGTATGTTCAACACTTCTGTATATAAAAGGCTAAGCTTCTACATTTTCTTAGGATAAGAAACGCATACTCATATTAAATAGAAAGAAAGAAAAGTTAGAAGAAAGATGAACATTTTGACGAAGTTCCCACATTCCCCACCTTATTTTCAGACATAGAATCCAACCCTGCATACCACCCATCGCCCACCATGTGATTTTATGCAGATCATCTTCACTTGCACTCAACCTCAGCACTGGACCTAACAACATTTTTCACTCATCCATGCAACTAGATTACCATCAATGAAATCCTACCTCTGAAAGCTGCTACTTTCACCAACTACTATATTCAGATCACAAAGAAGGCCCAATTTCCCTTTTTTTTTCCCCATGCCTAGAAAATTCCTCAATCATGACCCCTTTTTCACCCCTTCTAAAACCTGAATCCAGAGGTTTCTTCCCAGCAATCAGTTAGTCTTTAGAAAACCTTATAAAATTGATGACATAATGTTCTAATGCTAGTTGTGGGAAAGAGGAAGTGAAGGGAAGAGAGAAGAGAGAGGAAAAGTTACAAGGGGAAAATTAGGGTGAATATTCTTAATCAATTTGAAACATTAGAGAAGTCCAAGACATGTTGAAATTATAAAATAACAACCAAAAATGTCGTACTGATTTGTTAAAATGGTATATTCTAAAAGAAAAAACATAGTCAGTCATATGAAGGACATGATAGATCCTTAGATTATCCCTTGTGGAGTTGTTTTTGAAATCTGAGAAAAATCATATTCTTGTCTGTTGATTGGCAGATGCAAGCATTATTTCAGATTGGCAGGGGTGAACCTCCTCCAGTTCCTGATTCGCTATCAACGGATGCACGAGATTTCATTTTCAAATGTTTACAAGTTAACCCTAATAATCGACCTACTGCAGCTCAGCTATTGAACCATCCCTTTGTTAAAAGGTCGCCCCAAACTTCCTCTGGCCCTGCTTCTCCTCGTGCAACAGCTTACGTTCGTGAACACTTTCGCCAACCTTCAGTGCTATGATAAGGTAATATAGAAATTAATCTGGCAAGTTTACTACCCTTCTTACATGCTGACAGCGGTATCCATGCATGTCAAGCCATATTAGAACATTAGATTCCACAAAAGTATTTTCGGGAGGAGGGGATATGCTTCCTATATGCTCACGAAGATGTGAGAATGGTCATTGATTTACGAATCAAAGGAAAGCATCTCCCGGTCCTGTTGTGTATCTCTACATTGTAGCGACTTGCTTGGCCAGGAAAAAAAAAAAAAAAAAAAAAACTCATCTAAGGATCCGATGCCCACATTAGTATTGACTGAACTGGTTGGTCCACATCTACTGCTGTTGATTTTCTTCTTATGCCAGCTTCTGTGATAATGAGACGGTTACTGAATAACATAATGCTTTAATTAGATGACAATGTTGGGCAAACGAAACTGATCCTGAATGTTTGAACGGGATTTATGCGGGGCAGTGAATGTTGCAGGCATATCAATGTTACTTGCAGAATATATGGCCTGTGAATTTGTGAAAAATCAAAGTTGCGCTACAAGATTGTTACCTTGTTTGTGGAGGCGTTGACCGGCATCAAAACGAAACATGGTCAAGCATATTTTCTTGTACATTATTGACTTGCTGTAAATTGATTTTTATTTTATTTTACCAAGCAATAAAATTGTAGGTCCCGTGTTAAGGAAAAGCATTTGGGGAAAAAAAAATCAGAAAGGAAATAGAGGTGTATAATGAGTAGGACCGTGGGTGGTGAAGTTCATTCCTTAACCCTGGGAAGAAAGGCCTAGCCGAAGGATATGCTTTTATATCAGAGGAGGTTATCAAAGATGAGCATTTACAGCCAGGAGGGCCATAACCTGCTTCAATAGGTCACTGAAAGGTGATATAGAATTTCCCTGTTAAAGGAGTTGGTAGAGAATGTGCAAGTCAAGCAATATTTGCACGGAGCTTCAATGTTGAGGGATTATGATGAGTGTCTTATATCCAACAGTACAATAATAACTCTATACTTGATCGTACGGCTATTAAAGACCCCTCATTATAAACCTCAATATTATCCCTCATTGTAGCCTCTGGGATATTTGCATTTTTGGGCCCAAGGGCTTAATCCCATGATTTGATTCTGGCTCATTTTAAAAAGGTAAATAGTACGAAACTGTTAAGGGATGTTATTATTTGAAGTGTAACTGTATATACGTGTTATAATATAAGTGAACTGGTTATATCACGTGATGATACACAATATAAAAATTACTTAATTGTATACATCTTTTCTCATATAACACATAACTAAATTATTTTTGAAGAACGAACATAACTATCGGATATTTTTTAATCAATAAGGAAGGGAAGAATTGAAAGTTCTTACGAGCTTCTTAATCATTAACTATTGAATACGTATTGTTACCCCACATTTATTAAATACATTATTGATCAAAACATACGTAAGGATAAAACCTAGCTAAGTCTCATTTTGGTGAGAAATATGTATATATATGTCAAACATGCATGTAGCTTTTGTGTTTCCTCTCAATATATACGTCACATTTGGAATAAACATCTAGGGAAGCTCCATGTATTGGATGGTGTGGATCAGAATTCTCAAAACTACTCATAACATATTTTGTTAGAGTACAACATATAAGTGAAACCCACTTGAATTTGTTCATAACATTTATCCAGTCATGAAATTGTACAATTGGGATAAAGCTAATTCATAATAAGGGAGCGCGCGCACACCCACACACACACACTCTCTCTCTCTCTCTCTCTCTCTCTCTCTCTTCAATAAAATCTTTCATACAACTGCATTTTTTGTATCTATATCAACTTTTCAATAGAAATTTAATGCATTATTTTTTCATTTAGAAAACTAGTGGTAGATTAGGTGGTTACAATAAATTTGTAAACTTTTTACACACGGTATGTCTTCATTTTGAGTTATTTATACTAACACCTCCTGAGATTTTCGACTTTTTCACAATACCCCTTGAGGTTTTAGAAATTACAAGAACACCCATTGAGGTTTTAAATTGTTTTCACAAAACTCCTTTTCATTGATTTTTCATCAAAAAATTGATGATTTTATACCAAAAAAAATTCTCCAAATGACAAAGTTGGCCTTTAAGGGGGGGGGGGGGTGTATTCAATTGAGATTTTAATAGATTGTTTTGAAGCTTAAAAGTCCAGTGGTATCCAATTAGGATTTTTAAGTAATTAATAAAAATCTGGTGGTATTCAAATAAGATTTTTAAATAATCAATCCAAGTCTTGTGGTATTCAATTAAGACTTTTAAAATATAAGAAAAAGTACTGTGGTATTCAAAAACTTACCGATTTTGAGGTATTTTGTTAAATAGTATATTGCGTGAGACTTTTGAGTTGGTGATATAAATACCAAACCCCATAAAAAATCCCACCCTCCTATGCATGATTCTCACATTTTTTGTTTTTGGGGAAGATGAACAAATGAAGATAAACAAGGTACTCATGTCTTTACAAGAGCTTGGTTTAACCAGACTTGATCCTTCTGTATTTAGTCGATAGACTCAGATAGCTGTCTTTGTTTTCTTTGCTTTCTCTAGTCTATCTTGTTTTCTTTTTCTCCTAGCTGTTTGGTTGCAGGAGGTGCTTCCTGCCTTTCTTTTGGCTTCATGTCTATACTGTTTGTTCACTTTCATCTTATGGATAATCTCATTGCCCATTAAAAAAGGAGACTCAGATGGCTTACCTTCATACATCTAAATAATAATTTCAGATACGTTGCTTTCAATAGTTGTTCATATTGTGCAATATGCATGCATTTTTCTCAATAGATTTTCAGCTTATTTATTTCCTTTGATTTATTTGTCTTTCTTTAGTCAATTTATGGAATTAATTTGAGTGACAAGTGTACAATCAACGAAAAGGAATTTTGTGAAAACAAACTGAAACAAGACTTCTGTTTTTCTTCTTCATTTTTTCTTTTTCTTTTTTAATTGGACATTGTGCTTGTCTCTTCCCGCTCTTTTCATGCCTCTTTCCCCTAAGCTTCTTTGAATTTTCCTGACCTTCAATCTTAGCCGTCCAGCAGATCGTGTAGCCAGCAGCCACATATTCATCTGCCGGTCAAGGCCAAACCACTCCCCAGAAAAAAATAATTAATTATGAAATAACTTCTTCTGCTCAAGTCGGATTGGAAGGCCAACTTGTGCATAATTTGTAGTTGCTCTGATCCGAACCAGTATCAATTAATGGATGCCAGGAAAGCCCATAAAGCCTCCTCTTCATCCTCACGATCTTCCTCATCAAAACGTTGGAAGTACCAAGTGTTCTTGAGCTTCAGAGGTGAAGACACACGCAAGGGCTTCACAGGCCACCTCCACGCCGCATTATCTGATGACGGAATCCGCGCCTTTCTTGACGACAACGAGCTAGAAAGAGCGGAATTTATAAAAACCCAACTGGAGCAGGCAATCGACGGGTCCATAATCTCCATAATTGTCTTCTCCAAGAGTTATGCCGATTCCAGTTGGTGTCTTGACGAGCTGGTGAAGATTATGGAGTGTAGAGAAAGATTGGGGCAACAGGTTATTCCATTGTTCTATAATGTTGATAGCTCAGATGTCCGGAATCAAACTGGTAGTTTTGCACAAGCATTTGAGAAACATGAAGCGGGCATCTGTGAAGGTAAACATGAGAAAGAAAAGGTACAGCGCTGGAGAAATGCTCTCACTCAAGCTGCAGATGTGTGTGGGGAAGATCTTAAAAATGCTGACAACGGGTAATTACTAATTTCTTGTTCCTTGTTTACTTGACAATCATATGTCTTAAAAATGCTGACAATGGGAAGATCCATTTAACATTTGATGTTAAATCACAATATTAATTGTTAATTATATCTTAATTCTAAATTATTAAGTTAGGGGTTCTGTGTTTAATTGCCAGGCATGAAGCAAAGTTTATCAAGAAAATTCTTGGGGAGGTTAATAAGCAGTTGTACAGCAAATACCAATTAGACATCGAACACCTTGTTGGAATTACTTCTCGGCTGGAGGTTTTGCGTAATCACTTAGATATTGAAAATTCAGGTTCTAAGGATGTTGTTCGCATGATTGGTATTTGGGGGATGGGCGGCATTGGGAAAACAACGCTTGCCAAAGCCATTTATAACAAATTTGAAGGTAGCTTTGAAGGTAGGAGTTTCCTTGCAAACGTGAGGGAAGTAATTGCA